CTGTAGGTGTTCATCACATTTCGTGGGCTCAAGTTTCTAACCACATCCCTGCTTTCAAAAGCAGGAAGACGTTTTACCAGGAAGGAACAAAGCAAACCACACTGGTATTACCAGCGCCTGTGAAGCACTCGGTAGGGCAGGATGTCTACAGACAGAATATTTATTTGGCAGTGGGAGCACCAGACATATGAAGAACTATACAAATGCCATGACATCAGCTCCTTCTAAACTACAGATAAAAGCACCCACTGTCTAACACTCGCCATTATGTCTCCCTAGCTCACTACTGCGCTTACAAAACTTCACAGGAGACTCAGTGGCACCTTCTTGAATGCTTAGCACCGACACTCAGAAACACATCATTCTGAAGGCATGCCAGGATGGTTTGTGGAGTAAATGACTTCCCTTTATTAAAGTCACCTGGGATTTGGGGGTCCCAGGTATGCAGTAAGCCCACTATGAAACTTACACACAGACCTTTCTACTTCCTCTGCTGAGAATTAATGGAAGAGCTTTATGCCCTGCAAATGTTTTCATGAATTGGAAAGTGCACAATGTGCAGAATGTCTAACGTTTTACTTTCCCAGAGTCAGGAAGTGTACTGATGCAGGCACAATCCCAGGCCATTGTTTGTAAATTGCAATTTATGAAATTCATCTCCTTCAGCAGGAAGGTGATGAACTCTTATATCTGGCTGATGGCTCTCCAAACTTTAGAGTATTCTAAAAGCTCAAATCCAGAATAATAGTTGTAAGAATCTATTGATGTAAGGATCTAGAATTGTAATATAGCATCTTCATGCATATAGATGTATCTCCTGTCTGGATAAAGCCACATATATAGGTTTTGCATTATTAGTATCAGAATAAGAGGTATGCATGAGTTAAACTATTGTATGTTAAGCATGACAGAGTAGGTTGTACCACAGATTCATTATAAAGATTAAATGAGCTGTCAGGTAAAATTGTATTTCAACATAAAGATAAATGCACTTGTTGGCTTAGTGTTTTATTTTTTATATTTCTGTATTTTTATATCTTTATATCTTGGCTTTCTTATTCTTTATATCTTAGCTTTCTTATTCTTTATATCTCTTTTCCTTTGTGTTCAGCACTCCTTGTCAGAATCATTTCATGTAATCCTATTTCAAAACTATACTGCAAAACTGAGGGGTGGCTAGTTCATACAATCTCATTGTAAATTGTAAATACCTTTCATTGTAAATTCATTTTCTAAAGTGGACTATTAATTCACTGATCAATGCATTCAAGTTGCAAAGACCCTATAGAGTGGTTTGCTATTGTCTCCCTTAGTGTTCCAGAAGTTTTAGCAATTATGTTAATTGCCCTTTTTTTTTTTAACGTTCCTTGAACTGTGTCTTAGATTCCTTAGCAGAACTGGGTATAGCATTGTGGTTTTAGTATAGGTTTTATTTAAGTGAGGATCTTATTTTCCTCTTTCCTCCCATGATTTTCCCTGTGGCTTCCTTGGGCTGGTGGTTAGAAATGCTCTAGATGATAGTTCTAGTTCATGGTGAGGCAGCTGTTGATGAGTTTATTGCTGTGTTCAGGGCACTGGCTTCCTCCACATCTCAACCACGGGCTTTCTGTCCCTGCTCACATTGAAATCTTAACTCTCAATCGTTAGAACCTATATCCTTCTCTCCTGCCTCTTTTGGCTTTTATAATATTTTAGCAGGTATTTCAGGAAGAAATGTCTGAATTTGGTTGTTTTGAACAAACTAAGCATTAATAATATTTTCTACACGGGCTGGAAGGTGACTCAGTGGTAGAACACTTGCATGCATGAGGCCCTGGGTTCGATTCTTCAGCACCACATAAGCAAAAAGAAAAAAGCCGGAAGTGGTGCTGTGGCTCAAGTGATAGAGCGCTAGCCTTGAGCTGAAGAACTGAGGGACAGTGCCCAGGCCCCACAACCGGACCCCCCCCAAAATAATATTTTCTACATATTTCACATTTTACTGCTTTTAACTTCTAATTTAACTTGTTGTAGAATTCAGCACTATGACATCTTGATCACTTTGAGTCTTATATTCCTTATAAACTGAATTTCTCTTAACTAATAGTATACCTTTATTTATATGTAAAATATTTTTATATAAATTTGAGTAGATTCAATGATTGTATTTTGTACCTGATTCAAGGGTAGGTCAGTAAGCTTTATTTTGAGATAATAAAGAAGTATTAATTCATTCAAGACACTAATTCCTCCAAAGCAAATATTAAATGTTTATTCCTAAATGGTAACTGCAACTCTTTGGTTGTTTCCTCTACTCTTATTCCTTACATAGACCTTATTCCTTTACATTTGTTTTATGGTTTTGTCATTAGAAAGTTTTTTGTTGACCAAAATAAGGGCCAAGGTAGCATTATTTGTTTACAAGGCTTTGGCAGTAATACTTTGCCAGAAACACCAAGCTTACTGGTGAACAGAAGCTATAGCTTTCACTGTAAAATACTATAATTACATAGCACAGCAATATCTCTGTGGTTTTATCACTGAGGAAATCAATAGCAGTATAGGCTACAATTCTCTGTTGGACTAGAGAGAGCAGGTGAAAGAGTTTATTGACTTAGTAGGGATTGTGACGATAGCAAATCAGAGCTGCAGCAAGAAATAGTTTTTTAACCCCAGTGATTTTAATCAAAGCCCCTAAATGTTTCAGTCTACCAAGAGAATTGATTAAAAAGAAAAGAAAACATACAAACCACACAAAATTCTGGTGTTAGCTATAATCCTCATCCTTATTTGCATACCTACCATGGGGCATTATTATTGACAATCAGAAAGAAAAATTAAGTTAATGATGTAAGAAATTGTCTAGGTTTAAGGAGTTGCATTGTGATGAATATATTAGTTTGTGTTTTTCATGTTTGTGTTTCACCTATGTGATCATTTAGAAAGTATCAGTTTGTATAACCAAGATGAAGTTCCATGTTCTAAACTGTAGCACTGTGCTTCTCACTAAATGCATTGCTCTCTGGATTTTCAGCATATATTCTATGTATTAAACCACCCAAGATTGAGTTTTACATTAAAAGAGGAAGCAAGTTTAAGACAGAAAATATGTAAATATTGAAAGAATAGGAGAGAAGAAAGTAGAGAAGAATAAGAGAAAAAAAGACTAAAAAAATCTCTAAACATTCAGAGAAGAAAGTATAAAGACAGGAATAAGAAGGAAGTAATTTAAGATACAAAGTCTCTAATATAAAAATCTCTAAAGACATTAAATAACATTAAATCACCTGAATCTGTTTGTTCTGTAATAAATTAGTTGATTAAAAATGTTCAAAACCAGACCCTGTGTATGTTATATTGTGTGTATGTGTGTATGTGCATGTACGTGTGTGTGTGTGTGTGTGTGTGTGTGTAGGTGTGCATGCATGCTAACCCTGGGGCTTGAACTCAGGGCCTTGAAGGTTTTTTGTTTGTTTGTTTGTTTTGTAATTCCAGGCTAGCGCTCTACCACTTGAGCAACACCTCACTTTCAGCTGTTCTGTAGTTACTTGGAGACTTTCCTGCTCAGGCTGGCTTTGAACCACAATCCTCAGATTTCAGCCTCCAGAGTAGCTTGGATTATAGATGTGAACCACAGGTGCCCGGCTGCATTATTATTTTAAATCCTGAATTCAAATGTGTGCCAGTAGGAGCAAATGTCTCATGGTTGGCAAACAGCTGAATTCTTTGCATTCTTGCCTTTCTGACACTTAGTGACTGCTTGGTGAGAGTTCCCAATCCTGACCAGAGCTATGCCTTCTACTCAGCAGTAACCCACTCTCCAGCAAATACTAAGTATGGAAAACATGACAATGGAGGTTTTGAATTCAGTGTGAGCCACATCATTATTTACTTGTACTTTCAGTAAGATTTCTTTTAAAGTTCTCTGTGTGCACAGAATGGGAAAGGTAAACAATTTTGTATGTGCGTCAGAAACAAAATAATTTTCCTTAAATCACAAACACAACTTTCTCTACACAAAGACATTTGTTCGCTTGCATTCTGCAAGCAGTATGGAATGCATTACGAGGACTGTTAACATTTGGCTACCATGAATTCACATCCAAATATAGCACTCTGTTTCACGCGTTCACCTCAGTGTGTGTGATTTCAGAAAAATTCTTAGCACCTTAATTTCCTGGTCAGGAAAAGAGTCACTAAATGACTTCTGAAGGACTCTTGGATTGAGGAGTAAACTTTGGCAGAGTAGAAATAAACTACCATTTCACTAAAAAAGAGCCTAAGGAACAAAGACATAAAAAATAGAGACTATTTAGCATATTGTACCCACGATGGAACTTGTACACTCATTTTATCCCAATATAAATTTCATTCCAAATATTAGTACTTATTATAGGTTCTCACATCCTACTTTGTCTTTTTAGAGTCTGCATATGATTTCATATGTTGCACAAACTGAAACGTTTTACCAACATTTTTGTGCTTTAAGTGAATTAAACCATACCACTTTATAGTTTCTGACACAAACCTAGCCAACACCTTCAAGGTTTTGTGAAGAGGTTCTTCCTCAATATTTATCTTAAATGGATAAATACATCTATAGAAATGCTTACTGTGTTTATAAAGTTTGCATCTCAAGGACATTGGTGAGGTAGGTGTTGGTTTTGAAGTATGCAACACCAGCTCGTGTTTCACAAGTCATGTCTGGGCTCTAGGAAAAGCATAGGCATTCTTCTGTGCTCACATATAATACGGAATCATGGTCCCCTGGTCTGATAGACTGACAACTCCTCCATGGAAATGACTAGATCACTCTTTGCTTATATACTGCGTGCCATTGGTTAATCATTCTACTTCCCGAGACATTAGCTTTTCTTTGAGAGAGACCTAGGATGTGGATGCACCATTTTCCTTTTTATTCTTGTTCAAAGACTTCTGCATTTCTAAACCTTCCTTCAAAGGCAAGCAAATGGCTCCGTGTCAGGCCCCTTGGCGCCTGTAGTTTGCCCAACTCTACTTACTCTGCATGCACAGCCCATCCGTGCAGTTCTTGGATTGCAAGACCAGGCCGTCGCAGTCTTTGCCCCCATTCTTGGGAGCGGGTGCTGTGCACTCTCTCCTGCGCCAGTGCGTGCACTCAGTGCCACATGTAGACCACTTGCTCCAGGGGGTCCACCTGCCGTCCACTGCCACAAGAAAACCCAGCATCAGATCACAGGTTCTAGAGAGGAGAGCTCAGCTACAATACAATGAAACCAACAACTAGAGAAAAGGCCCCACCAGGAAGTGTTACACTCACTTCAGCCACTGGAAAATGGAATGTGCTAACTCATGCCATGCTCTGTGAACTTTCCTTACAAGATGCATCATTTTTTACTCATTGGAGAGCTTAGAGTAGCTTACAGGCACATCGACTGGAGATGTCACCAGGAGCTATGTAAATGACATTGATTTCTTTCTTTCTTTTTTTTTTATTAAAGGCGAAACTTTTGGAGTTTGTACTAGAAATTATGGAGTGTCTATTGTGGTCCAAGATTCTTTCACTCAGAGTGCCTTTGTGCAGTAAAAGGAAATTTGTATGGCATTGGGAGAAAGTGTTGGTACAGGAAAGGAAAAAATCCATCCATCCATCCATCCATCCATCCATCCATCCATCCATCCATCTCTGTCTCTCTCCTGTCATTCACTTCTCTATATACACTTTTATTTTCCCTTTTTTATTCTGAATACTTGATTCTGGCAAAAACAAAAGCTTTAACTTTCCAACCATCTACCATTCCATTATTTGATGATGCATTCATGTCTATCTGTCTGTCTGTCTATCTATCTATCTATCTATCTATCTATCTATCTATCTATCTATCTATCGATCTATCGATCTATCGATCTATCTATCTATCTTCTTTTGGTCAGTCATGGGCTTGAACTATGGGCCTGGATGCTGTCCCTGAGCTCTTCAGCTCAAGGCTAGTGCCCTACCACTTGAGCCACAGCTCAAGGAAACTTCCAGTTTCCTGGACATAGTCTCACAGACTTTCCTGCCCGGACTGGCATTGAACAGCAATCCTCAGATCTCAGCCTCTTGAGTAGCTAGGATTACAGGCATGAGCCATCAGTGCCCGGCTCATGTCTATATATTTTAAAGATGATATTAGAAGAGACCCTAACCTTTGTTGTAATTCACTTTTAGGATTGACTCATATTCTTTCTAATTTTGGTGGCTGACTTATAAGCAATTTCAATGATAATGAGCTAAGATAGCTCACCCTTAAAAACACACAAGTTAAATGCCAATTTGAAAAAAAATACACAGCAAATATACTGTAATATTTAAAAATGCATCCTTTGAAATTTCTCACAATGATAGGATTAAAGAGTGGAAACTAGGTTTTAAAAATGCTTTGTTGTCTCTGAATTATGAACAATTATGCTTATTTAGAATTTTATCTAGAATTTTATGTGATTTATTGAACATATAAATCTTCTAAAAACTGTTTGCTAATAATATGATATCCATTTTAATAGTAATAGGCTGTATAGTTTGGAAAATCCATATATATATATATATATATAACTTCACAAATTACTATATAAATATATTTTATATTACCTACATATAAACACAACTAAATAAAAGAGTAAGGAAAGCACCAGTATTTCCATCATAGAGAACTGTCTATATAAACAACTTTAAACTATCTGGATGGAAGACATTTACTTTGATCTAGATCCTCCCAGTACCCAGAGCAGTCGCCTTCCCTTTTTCTTATGACCCTCTGTTACATTTCACTTTGATGAGTGCAGCCTTAAAGAAACCAGTACAGGAGAGTATAAAATCAGATCTGAATTCTTAAACTCAAGTGTCAGAGTTTCTCCCATAAACAAGAGCCCTGAAAGTGTTTACTATGAGAAACTATCTTGATACTTGGAAATCAACACTTTGGGGATATAATATGTAGATCATATTTTTTCTCCAACTGATTAATCCTATTTCTGGCAAAGGTCTCATTAAAGAAGAAACAGGACACAAGAGAGAATGTAAGGAGTAAGGTGGCCGTGTATCTATATAGTCAAGCTTCCAACAGAAAAGCAATCCTAAAGAATACATGAATGTGATGGATTATCTCAACATAATTCTCACTTGATGTTAAGATATGAAGTACAATTAGGTACCTTAAAGGGATATGGTTTGGGGCAAATATTAACTTCAGTTTTCCTACATGTTAGACTGGGTAATTACGAATTTGAAATAGGATAACAAGATTTTTTTAAAATCTTTATTTATTTTTTATTGTGAAAATACTGGATAGCAAGATTCTTGGGGGCAGAAAAGTGTAATCTTGCTCTAGGTATCACTGCAGCCACCTCACAAAACGATGACCAACATGTGCAGATAATAAAGAGCTACTGCACTGTATTTTCGAAATCCATTAGCACATGTGTCACACAGCCTTACCTTACTTTGAATTCATTCCAAATGCTTTATTTGCCCTTGCCCAGAAACTGGCAACACATATTCAATATAACAGTAGAAGACATTTCTACATTTCAATTCCCATTCATTTCCATGGTTTTCTGAAGATTAAGGCTTGCTGTTTCTAACATGTAATTTTTCAATGCTGCTCAAATTCCTTGAATCATTGAACTCATAATCTTAGTTTCAGTAGTTTCATTGACTATCAGAGATAGAATATGTTTTGGGGTATTTAATTTCCTCTTTTATACTACTTTGCCTGTTTGGGTAACAAAGTTCAGTACTGTTTTGGAGACAAGTACTAGATTTCTCAGCAATGGAAACATTGCATATTGAATTGAGTTAAATAATGTGGATTGAACAGTCAGGTCAAGAAAAAGGCCTTTGTATCTACTTCCAAAATATATTTCTTTAAGGCGGGGAGATGTTTGGAATAAGAAGATGGCGTATTCACCTGGGCATAACGTAGTACAGGCTATCTTCTGCACACTCTGACCTTCGCAGAAGGCTCCACCATTGAGTGGGGCTGGGTTGGTGCAGGTCCTTGTACGTTTCTGATACCCTCGTCCACAGCGGCTATTACACACAGACCACTCTGTCCAGGTGGACCAGCCACCATTAACTGAGAGGAGGAAAGCAAGAAGACAATGGATTAAGCTCATACATCTGCACAAAGGGACACCATACATAACACCCAAACTGAAAGTCATCTTGCCAGTGACAAACAAACATCCTGAAAGACATCATGAACATTATGTCAGAGTATGTTGTGTAGCTGGGAAATCTAAACACAGAGCGAGGCAAAATTATTTACCACGATGCTTTCACTCAGAAAAACAAATAGATCACTCTCTGTTTTCCTTGGTTAACTTTTTTTAATACAGAAAAAAATACATGCCTTTCCCCAGTCAAGCTCCAAAAAGATGTTTATAAATGTTTATATACTGATGCCCAGACTGAAAGTAGATCTACACCATGGGAACTGCAGAAAAATCATGTAGACATTTTAAAAGCATTAGAAACATTTTTGAAAAACCACTAAAGAAACAATTGACTGATAATCTTTTTTTTAGCATTTGCAAAATGTATTGCCTTTTAAAGCAATTTTAGTTAGTTTCACATGGGCATATATGAACATATATGTAAATATATGTGTATGTATATACATGCATCTATATACACATAAACATATAATTATGCAATATGTTCATGTATGTTCACACTTATGTATATTATATATGCATATATATGGGTGTATATATCTGTGTGTATATTTGTGTATAACCTCCAAAATGACATTAAAAAGTACAACATACATATATAAATATATTCCAACTAAATAATACTAGTTAGATGCATATTTTTCTGTAGACTTGTGTTGAGGCCCAACTTGGGATTGTTGGATAGCTTGTTTTATGAAAGCATCAAAAGGATAAGCAGGTAATTGGCAGGTAGCATTTCAAACTTCAGTTGCTCAACTCCAAATTTCACGGAGCAATCAGTACAAATTGCTCACTAGCATATTAACAAGTTGATATTTTGGACCACAGGATATTGTACTGCTCTGATAAAACTCTAATGAGAAATGAGCTGGGCATTAGTGGCTGACTCATGCTGTAGTCCTAACTACTCAGGAGGCTGAGATCTGAGGAGTGAGGTTGAAAGTCAGCCTAGGCGGGAAAGCCCATGAGATTCTCATCTTCAATTAACTACCAAAAAAAAGCCAGAAGTGGGGCTGTGACTCAAAGTGGTAGAGCTTAGCCTTGAGTAAAAGAGCTCAGGGACTGTGCCCAGGCTCTGAGTTCATACCCCACAACCACCACCTCCAACAACAACAAAATACACTCTAATGAGAAATGAATGATCAGAAACTTTTAGATGCTACATATTTGACAAAGATAGAGACAAAGGCTCAGATAACTCAGGTTATAAAAGGCAGCTAGTGGAAGACATTTTCCTAGATTACAAGATTTCTGAAACTTAGTTTTGACTCTTAGTTTGAAATGTTTAAGTTACTTGTGTTTGACCCTTTCTGAAAAGAATCCACTCATTTCAATTATGAGTGCAGAAAGAATGCTATATGTTGGAAGTGATTTGCATATATATTAAATATCCATATGATACATCTATATATAGACTTTTCTTCATTCATTATTTATGATTGGTCCCTGCTGATTGGGCCTCATTTCTACTTTGCATTTCAAGTGCTGTTAATCAAGTCTTCCAGGAAGTTTAAACAAAGATACAAAGTAAGAAACTGGTTATTATGATTTAAGAAATGAAATTGCTTACAATTCAACATAGCCATTATCTGGACGAGGAGATTAAACCTTAGAGTAATCAGAGGATTAAAAAATGAAATGCATTTGTCCTGTAATTAAAATGACAATTTTATGCTATCACTATATTTGGCCTTGGGAAGATAATTATGGTTCTTGTTTGTGTAGCTTGTCCAGTGAAAAGGTACTACAGAAAAATGCAAAAGTTCAATCTTTATTACTTCTCAGGTTTTTTTTCTTTGGTTAACCTGAAACTCAAACTATCACAAGGTGGATTAACAAGTGAAAGCCTAAAATTGTATTTAACATAACTTTCTCATGTCATGAGGAACGTCTTAAAAATGGAAAGCCCAAAGGTGCCATTAGAACTGAACACTGATCTTTGGAATTGGCTGAAGAGTAGTAGGTATTAAAAAAGCAACTAAATTCTACAATGAGGCTAAAAGATTAAAAATGGCTTTAATTAGATCCTGCTGAGTTTTCTTGGTCTCAACTTTTATTCTCCATGAAAAGAATGTTTGTTTTCCTTCTTGCATAAAGCAGCCATCTGTCCTATTGGATTTTCATCTACTTCTTTTGTTTACTGCCCAACTAAGTAAATAAATAAATAATGTCTACAAGCCAGAGTGGAATATTTTTATGGTGCCATGTTCTTAACTGTTTTAGTATTCTCAGTGAATACCAGGAGCCAAATACTGACCAATGACTCTCCATTTTCACAGTCCATCACCCTTCAAGGACCTGAGGGTCCTTGGCTTTGAAGTAGATACAAAGGTACCTTTGGCTTGAGTGGAGGGGAGACCTGGACTTAGCATTCAAAATATTCACCAAATATTCAGGTTTTTTTTCCTGTGACAATAAATATACATTGAGGGTTTCCCATTGTGAAACAAATACCTAAATGTACAATCATTCTCTTTGTGTACAAAGCTTAGCTTGGGCAGAGGAAACCCCTAGAAGTCATATGTGAAATGATGAGAAGTCGCTTGAGTACTAAATAGCACAGAATAAAAGACACGCCACACCAAAATGCAATGCGACACTCACTGGTACTGGAGAAACCACAGGTTTGGGATGAGGTCAGTACACATCACAGTAGAAAGAAGGCCATGCGCGAGACTTTGCCAATGCTAGGGATGAGAGCCTCTTGACCATGGATGCGTTTATCATTGCTCTGTGTGCCTCAGAAGAAGCAAACAGTGCAAGTTCTGGAGAGGTCAGGGGGGAAAGGCCAGGCCCAGCTTTCCTAGTTGTCACTAGACTGAACTAAGTTCACAGGAAATCAGGAGCTGGCCTTCCACCACTTTAACTTCTGAACTTAGTCTGCATCTTGGGAGTGCAGGCCTGGAGAGGAAGTAGCTTCAGGAGGCAGAGGGAATTCACCTTCGTACAAAGTGACGACAAAGCCATGGAGAATGCCAAACCCGATCATTCAGGGCAGTGTCTGGGTAGCAGACAAATCCCACTGACCACGCAAGGGATTGGGAAGAGAATAGCATGGAAAACGGGCTTTTCCCCATGAAATAATGCTCTCAACCAGTTCCAGTGGTTGGAAGGAGATAGACTGAGTCTCCAGGAGCTCACTCACCATAGACTATGACGGTGGCTGTTGTGCTTTTCCTCTTGGCTACGATATTTTTGGCGACACAGGTATAATTTGCCGTATCTGAGAGCCGGGCCTGCTTTATGATGAGGTTGTGATCGATAGTAATATAAAAATTCCGATCTTCAACCGGATCAATTATGTCTTCATTTTTCAACCATTCCACCTAGAAAAGGCAGAGATGCAGAATTGGTAAGTCCCCCAGCACAGATCCCTAAATGGCGTGTGCTTTCATGTGTGTTCTGTCACGCGGACCGCATTGTTGTATGCCACGAACTCCTGCAAAGCAGGGGAAGGAACTTTCCAGGTCATGGGAAGTATCACTCACCTGCCACACATGCTGATTCTGTCTGTACTACATTATTCTCAAATGTCAATGAACCAATTGGGGAATAGAGTGTTCAAATTGTTTTCACTCTGCCCTGCAGGCAGGAACAGAGAATGAGCATTGCCAAGTTCAGAACCCAATCAAAAATAATAGGCTAAGCCTTTCAGGCTGAACTCAAACCTTTTGCAATTTGATTTGTTTACTTTTGGAAATTTACCTGCTGCTTTTCAGAACAGAATAGAAGGACTATAAAACAAGCTCCAAAGGCAGTTGGGACATCATGTAGCTCTAATAAAATAACATTTGGATGATTTACACATAGCTTTGTTAGAACATATGGATTAAATCTACCTGAAAATGCAGGTTTTAAGATGTAGCAAAGCACCTATTTGGAGATGCAGTTAAGCCAAACTTTCTGGGGGAAAAAGTTTGTCTACCAATGCTCAATGCAATCCAAGTAGCTCATCTTTCATGGTTAGATCTCTCTTTTTGTATACTCCTAGTATGCAGGTCTTCAGTTCATGGTTTGGAAATGGGTAAACTGATGAATAACAGGGTTTTGAAAAGAATGGAATGGTTGTTCTTCTACACAAATGTTAGTTTAACAAGAGTGATCTTATTCCTGTTGAAGAAAAGGAGGGAAGTACACCTTGTACAAGCTGCCCTTTGGAAGGTAAACTATTTCTTGTCCTGGCAATGGCTTTTGTTTGTTTATACCGGGATTTTCCTTCAAAGAAAAACAATATTGATATTTACTACACTTTAACTTTTCTTTTGCATTAGAAGGACTGTTGATACAAGTAATCTTTAGGGGTGGTGAGTCAATATTGTTGCCATTTTCAAATTCTTCTAAAGCTTCTCCAGCACCCAAAGAGGTCCAGAAATTAATCTCTAAATCTGTTCCATGGATTGACATAGCTCAGTTCTAAGCTATTTCGAACACAGCAACTCTCAATACTGTTTCTCTACTCTTTAGAAGAGAGGTCAATGTTTAAAAGGGGAGGGAGGAGGAGAAACAAAATCTAACCATAATCCTGAACTATAAAAGGGAATAAGAGATGTAGATTAGTACAATTGTTTGTAATTATGGAAAGTCTAATATAATTAAACAATCTTGACATTGGCACAAAGGGTAGTAAAGAAGAGAGTGGTTTTCAATTATAGTCTGTACATTCACCTACCCAGCTTTGAGAATAAGTGACAGTAGACATGAATATATTTTCAATCTGATCTTTACCTAGGTTGTCTTTTCCATGCTGAACAAAGCTTTGCCCTTGGAGAAGGCAGTATTGGACTCTACTCAGTTGTTCTTAGATCCTTCTGACATTGTTTTTACACTCACCATACTAAAATCTCAACAATCTGTACTGATAGTCTTCCTTTAAAGGCAGTCCCCAGAGCCAAGGGTTCTCCCTCTATTGGCTAATAGTTCACAACTTTCCCCCAAACTTTCCTGCTGGCCATTGATTGATGAGTGTTGAAATCTGCCCCTGTCCAGGAAGGTCAGTCAGATCTGTGTTGTGCCTCGTCTGGTTCCAGCTAAAACCATATCTTAGAGACTTACACTATTATTTGGTGTCTCCTTTTTTCTTAGAGGATGTCTTGGAAGTCCTTCCTCCCAAAATGACTGGTATTCAAACCTTTTTCGCAACATTTTCTTCCAGAAAACCCAGCCTATGGTTGTGGCTGTGTAAAAGAACAGTTTCTTCACACAAATTGGTACCAGTTTAACAATAGTGCTACCCTAATTACCTGAGATGCATTACAAGTGGCTTGTTTATTTGAAGAGTTTATTTATATATTTATTTATATAGGAGGGGGTGAGCTCCATTTGCATGGTTCACCAAATGTTTTAAGAAGTATACATGAAGCTGGGTTCTGGTGGCTCATACCTATAATTCTAGCTACTCAGGATATTAAATTCTGGAGCATCATTGTTCAAGGCCAGCCGGGCAGAAAAATTAGTGAGAGCAAAAATAGCAGTTCAAGTGGTAGAGTACAAACTGAGCAAGTCATGGCCCTGAGTTTAAATCCCAGTATCAGCATAGAGATGAGTAGAGGGGGAATGGAAGAGAGAGAGAGAGAGAGAGAGAGAGAGAGAGAGACAGACAGACAGACACAGACACAGAGACAGACAGAGACAGACAGAGACAGAGAGGTGATCTTTGTGCTTTATATCCAATGCTACGACAGACAGACAGACAGACACAGACACAGAGACAGACAGAGACAGAGAGGTGATCTTTGTGCTTTATATTCAATGCTACTTTTTACTCCATTATCTCTCACAGATGTTTTAGCAGTGATTATGTTCTCTGAGCCTCCAATCCCTGAAAAGTCCTCCCTGGCTCCCCTTTCCCCTCCCCCACTGTTGATACTGTCCCAGTGCCCTGGGAAGGGGCACAGTCTTCCTCTCCAATCACAGCTGTCGTTAGAGAAGCTCTGCTTTTATCTGCTCCACCTTGGCCTGGCTTGTACACCTTCTCTGGAAGAAACTGAGAGTTCTAAAGCTAGAAAAATGGCTGAAACAATCAAGAAGGAAGCCAAGGGTTCCTGCAGCTTCTGGTAAGATCCGCTAGTTCCCTGTGATTCTGCAGTAACAGGTGAGCCACAGTCTGTTTTGAGATCATCTCATCTAGGGGGGGGGTTCAGGTTTGGACTTCCTGTTCTTTCTGGCTGTGCTGAGTGGCACATCCTCATTCCAAATGCCCCAAATCCTTCCTCCGGCCTGGTGTGCACAACGTTACCATCCTTTCAGATTGTTTCTGCCCAGCTGCCTTTCCCCCACCTAAACACAACTCTTTCTGGTGTCAGAATTTCATCAGAAATCCTCAAATTTCTCAATTTCAACACAGCAATAAGTCTGTGGCCTTCTATTCTCTTACTGATTCTAGTCCCTTCTCTCTCAACATCTTTGCTCTCAATCTCATGACATCGTTTAATTTCTACACTTTTTTTTGTGGTTATCTACAGACCTTTGGACTTGTGTAGTCACTTTTTCCAGCATAATTTCTGATCATTTTGATAACCAACAAGAGGACACATCCAATGTCTTGGCCCCTTAGCTCAGTGATCTATCTTCCATAACAACCATGGCATGGGTCACATGTTGGAGGCCAGAGGATTTCAACCCTGGCTCTGCAAAAGAGTATACTGGAGTACACAGAAACTAAAACCAACCCTCAGGAAAATGTGATTCTCTGGTCTAAAGACTGGTGCATCAGTATTGTTGAATGTCTCCACAAGGTTATAAATTACTGGTAGATTATTTCCTGGAAAAATGAGATTCTAGGACCTAAACGTTCTGTGTCACCCAGACAGCATGATAGAAATGTAGAACCCTAGGCTCTGCCCATCTGAACTTGCTGCATCAAAACGGGCATTCCAACAGGAACTTCAGGGGATCTAGGCACACACTGATTTTGGAGAGATATTGTCTTCTTTCCCTTACCATTCATGGTCCTGCATTTTGTTGTTGTTGTTGTTTTTTCTTGTGAAAATACCATATATTACAATTACATGGTCAAGATAATGAGTACATTTCTTTTTTTTTTTTTTTGGTCGGTGGGGCTTGAACTCTGGGCCTGGGCGCTGTCCCTCAGCTCTTCAGCTCAAGGCGAGCACTCTACCACTTGAGCTACAGTGCCACTTCCGGTTTTCTGGTGGTTTATTGGAGATAGGAGTCTCACGGTCTCTCCTGCCCGGGCTGGCTTTGAACCACAATCCTCAGATCTCAGCCTCCTGAGTAGCTAGGATTACAGGCGTGAGCCACCAGCGCCGGCATGAGTACATTTCTTATCAAGCACTGTTGCCTCCTCCTTTGCTTCCCTTTCCCATCTCTTCCCACATTTGTAAATCCAGGTTTAAACATCCTTTCCTTTCATGATGTTTAGTGTTTTTTGCCCACTTTTTCGAAGAACCTTAGTCCAGTAATTCTTCCCATTCTTCCCGGGATCTATGAACTGCTTTTACTTACAACTCTCTCTCTCTTTCCCTCTTTCCCTCTCTCTCTCTTTCTCTCTCTCTCTCTCTCTCATCCTCTGTCCTCTTTCTCAAGCAGAGATTCCAATGTCTACTGTTCTAATAACCATGGCTCATACCCTCTACCTAGCATCTCTATCTCCCTTCCAGGTCCTCACTTAGCCACTCTTCCTCGGTCCCCTCTTCATCTCCAGAAAGGGAATTGTGGGTAGACACAACAATCATGAATGGGCTCATTCTAAATTCAAGAAAACAGGACACAGTGGGCCCTCAATCCTGCCACGTTGGTCTGTATTTTCATCACGTTTGCTTTCCCACTCACCTAGATAACTGCTCCACATTTTGTCCTTTCTCCTTAAATACTACTCTCCCTCTGTCTTCCCTTTGAACTGATGACCCAAATTCCGGTATCATAAGCAATCTCACCCAGCTCCGTGTGACGATGCCTTCTCAGACCCATTATGCACCCTCTGTCTTGTCACTGGAGCTCTCTGGGCCCCTGAGTGTCACCTCTGATTTGTACCCTGTCTCCTTTGCCCGTTAATATTCAAGGGAAAGCCCCAGCAATCCCTTCCCCTGTCTAAATTATTCAGTTTTCACTCTATACTAAAGCACGTCTGGGCTCTTATTGTCCACAGCTTACAATCCTCCCTGTCCACTTGTGCTCAAGCACCTCGCTCTTCCTCGTTCACTTTATAAGACACTGGGGAAGAGTTGTCCACACCGCCCCTGCCCAATCCCTGTCATCTACTGAGCCTGCTCTTCCCTCCACCACTTCACCACGACTGTCTCCTGTTCACAGTACCTGCCATTGTGCCCGGGGGGATCTCATCATGCTCCATGTGACTTGGCTCATC